GGGGGGGGGGGGTACTTTGGGTGTCAGAGTCCCCCTCCCAGCTGGAGCTCTGGGCCGTGATGCTGGGGTGCATGCTGGGACTGCTGACTAGTGCCGGGGAACCCACACGAAACATGACCAAGCGGATGTGTGAGCTCCACGGAGCCTTGGGTGCTTAGGTTCCAGGGTCCTGATTGTGCTAAACCCGTCCTCCAAGAGCGGCCGACAGCATGAAGGGAAGGTCAGAACAGGACGGCGCTCCTGTTGCTGATGTTGTTTCTGGGTTGCGCATGTGCAGGGCTCTCGGGTAGGAGGAGCAGTGCCGTGCTGGGGTCCTGACCTGGGCTTCGTCACGGACCTCAGGAGTCCTTGCGTCCAGTTTGTGAGCTGTGAGAGGACCTCCTGTGGCGTATCACGGAGTTAGTCTCCAGGTAGCATCGGGAAGACAAGTAGCCATGCGTTTCATTCCTTCTCCAAGTTTTAGTTGACGCTCTATATCTGTGAGTTCCGCGGTCACAGATTTAACCGAAATTTTAGGAACAGTTGCATCTATTCTGAATACCGCTGTTCCTTCACGTCATTATTTCCTAAGCAATGCCGCATAACTGCTGTGTACAATGTAACACTGGAAGGCTGCGAGTGCTCTCAGGATGGTGTGACGTGCACAGTGTGGGGCGGTGCGTATTCTGCTCCCTTTCCGTTGGAGGACCTGAGTGACCCGGACAGCTGCCTGCAGGGGTCCTGGGACCCACCCCCACCCCCACCCCACCAAAGCTCAGCCACCTTCATTCTGTCCAGTGGGAGTGGAAGACATTACTAATCGTCAGCAGTTGTATTTCTTTGTAGTGTTTCACTGTAACGTGGGTTATACTGGCCCCTGAGCCTGGTACTCATGGGGAAAGTGCTTTTGCTAGAAGGAGCTAGGGATTCCTGCCATCCAGTGTGGATGGGCGTCAAGCAGACTGCACTTGGCTCTTCAGGGCTGCTTCCTGGGCCCACTGAGTCCTCACAGCGTCTACTGGGGTCAGGGCTGCCCCTGCAGAGCTGCCCACTGCCCTGTCCATTGGTGCCAGGAAGGAGAGTCTTTAGTCCTTGGTCAGCCTTGATTTCTAAATCTCGTCATCTCTTGTACTGAGTGGAGTACATCCCTTTGTTTTTGTGAAGTATTTTTTATGTTTATTATATCACCTCTTGTAGTACAAACCATGACTTAGAATGACGCTGTCCAGATCTTTTCAGGATGCAAGACTTGCTTTTGAATTTGTTACTTTTACAACTGCCTTGTGAAGTCTCCAGGGCAGGTGAGAGATCCCCAGTCTGGAAGGGAACTGCAGCCCTGGGTGTCCCTTCCACCTCTAAGCATGGACTGAAGCGCTGTTACCATAAGCACCCTCTTGGGGATGTGGCAGGACTGTACATAGTTTCCTTCTCTCTAGAAAAGAGGGTTACAGTTTCATTGTCTAGACTGGAGAGAGAAAGGACCTGACTCATTTTACTGTTACTACTTGTTTCCAGTCCCATTCTTACTCCCAGGATGGTCCACAGTTGTGTCTTTTGGATTTGTGCCTGTACATTTCAGCCGCTGACACACTGCAGTAGGCCCTTCCCCGACTGTGCTGCACAAGCCTCTCCTCAAGGAATCTTTTGATCCTGCTGCATGGTGTGTGAATACATAGCTCTCAAAGAGGCGGGAGAGTCTTTTGTAAATAAGAACAGGAGTCAGAAAAAAGAGGAGACACAGGTGGGTGCAGAAAGTCAAGTGACATGCGACAACTGTGAGTAGAAACCCTGTACAGCTCCCCCTTCTTGGCCTGAGGGTTGTGAGGAAATGTTCAGGAAGGACTGGTCATTGCTGTTGGCCCTTTGTGTGGGCCATGGAAAGCAGGCAGCGTACAGATGCCAAGAGGGCAGCACGTAGGGCTGAAAAAATTCCCCGTCAGCCCCAGGCTGTGTGCAGGCATGTGAGCATTCCCAGGGTATGCAGGGGGGAGTCCCTCAGTCTGATTCACCCAGGGGATACTGAGCCTTGAAGCATGGGTTGGAAAAGCCCTTGACCGGGCTTGAGTAGAGGATGAGTATAATAACCCTAAGCCTCCCAGTGCTTGTGGTCAGCTGTCTGCCAACAGTACCACCTTCTTCAGACCAGTGCTGGGATCACAGCTGTGCTACTGCATGGTGACCAGTTGAGCACCTTATTCACCTGACAACCCCGAGTCCATCCTATGAGAGCTCTTCTGTGCATCTCTATGTCTTTTCTGAAATCTTCCAGTAAGACTTGTAACCTGAGTGGGCTGGGTTTCATTTAATACACACCGGGGGCATTAACTGAAAAAAATAAAAAATCTGTATGTCCTCAGGCTGATGCCAGAAAAGGAACACATGTTCACTAGATCTGGGAAAAGTTTTTATGTTTACTCTTTTAAAGGTTGCCAGGTCAGAAAAGGGTGGTGGCCCAGAGTTGCTTTGCATTTTGGACCCTAAAATATTTGCAAAATTATTATTAGAGTGAATGAAAGTAGAGTAACTGTGAAGACTCCATTGCCATGTGAGATGATGTTCTTCTGGGTAGTGGACTTACTGCAGTTCTTAGTGGCTTGATGTGTGCTTGGGGCACTTGTGACCCCTAGCAGGTTAGCACCTCAATATTTACCACCTCATAGTCCACTCAGAACACAAGAAGCTGAGTGATGACAGCCTGGCAAAGAGTGGCCAGGCCGAGGTATCCTGGGAGATTGCTTCTCTTTTCTTCATTATGCACAGACCTGGAGATGTAGAGCAAGAGCTCTCATTGGAGGAGGCTGGAGCCTCAGGGCTGATGCCACAGGGCTAAGACAGGAAATACCTCCCAGGATGGGGATATGACTGACCTCACTACCCTGGGCCTTGGCCCCCCACCCCACAGTAGGAAGAATGGTCTCCGTGTGTCTCTATCTTCTGAACACCACAGGGAAAGCTCACCCACCGCTCACTTCCCAGGTGTGGTGGGCTTTGTTCCTGGAGCCCCAAACCAGCATGGTTAAAACCAATGTGTACTGGGAAGAGGTGGCCGCGTCTCTGGCTCTTCTTGTCAAACCAGCTCTCAGTCCTGTCCCTGCCCACAAGGACATGTTACACATTGGTACGTGTTCTGTGTCATGTGTCTCTCCGTTAGATCGTGCCTTACTCCATCGTAAGAATAATGCCACTCGTGTTTTTAAATTTTAGTTTTTCAAAAACTAAATTAGTAGGATGTGAAATAAATGACAGCTAAAACTTGAACAGTGGTAAGAACAGATGATAAAAGCTCCATATATCAGAATTTAGTGTATAAGGGGAACCATGTTCCTTTGTTTATGTAGTATTTTTATAAATTAATTTTAAGAATATAAAGAACTGGTAATTATACTACCTACTAGAATAAATTAGAAGTGAATAGAGAGCTTTAAAATGAATAATGCATATAAATGAAATTAAAACTGCAAATATGACATTTTATTAAAAAGTATGGTTTTACCTGTTATTAAAATAAAAGATGAGAGAATTGCTCGATACTAAAATTGCTGGTCAAAAAATAAATAAAATCACTGGTCTTCCATCCATGTTACTGCCCTTATAGGATGAGTAATAAGTGTGAAATAGCTGTTCTGGTAATAAATCTCTGCTGACAAATAGCGTTATTTCTTTCTTGTAGTTCTGGACAGGTGACTACAGATCCATATTTCCAGTTGGCGCTGGAAACTCCTTTTGGTAAAAATGATTATTCAAGTGGATATAAGTAATAAAGTATGTGTGTTACAGGTTTTACGCTGCTATTTGCTCTTCTTTTCATAGACTGTATTACTTCTAATGTGGATCATGAGTTCATCACAAATAATATTCTACTTATTAGTGTTCCTTTCTTATTAATGGTCTGTTTTGATCACTGAAGTAATACCTGCCACATAGAAAGACCTAAAATGCCAAACTAGAAGATGCGGAAGCTGATAGACTTTCCCTTTTAGCCCATCCTGGGATCACTGCTATCAGTGCTCGTGCAATTCGTAACAGCACCTTATAAAGAGGCTCACAGTTGGGAGGCTTCAGTCATGGTCATTTGTCCCCAGGGATGTGGCTCTGTGTCCAGGAGGGAAGAGGCTGGGGTCTTCCGCTCCCTGCAGGGCACTGCTCTGGAGACCAGAAGACTTCCGCAGCTCGAAGCCCTGGGGAGAGATTCCACACTCCCATGGGCATGTCTCCTGGCACCCGGCGCGCTCTTCTCCTGTAGACAGCTGAGTGTCCGCTCCTCTCCCTGGGCCCTTCCGTGCCAACCGCAGCCAAATGATCATACTCTCCACGCAGCTCCGCATTTTGGGCTCCTGTCTGCCAGTGTTTTCTGAATGTCTCTTTCGCTGCTGGTGCCTACTGCAGCTCGTTTTTGGCAGCAGCTGTTTATTATTCTGCATTGTGGATACTCCTGTCCAGCCCCCTTCCCTACATGCACAGTCCGATGGTTCACTATGAAAAGGGATATTTTGATAAATACCTGTACATATATCTTGTTATATTCATATATCTGTATTTTGGTAGATTACTGTGTCTTCTTGTTGTTTGGGTACTGGGGATCAAAAACTTGCACTTGCG